AGCATAGTACAATTAATAATATAAATGTTTCTTTGTATAACATAATGGTAATAAATGTAAAGTACAAAAAATTAGATTCAATGAAAAACGCATCGATGATCCCTTTTATATAAAATATTGAAAAGGGGTCTTAAAAAATAAGTTATCTCGTAATACTTATTCTTTTGACAAACTTCTTGCATAGAATATAAAAAAAAAATTCATAAGACTAGTAAAAAATCATTTATATCTTGTCAAATAATTAAGAATTTTATTGTAGATATTGCCCAACAATGCTATTGTAAATATATAAATACATATATATATATATTAATATTCTTTCCGCCCTTACAACTCACTCTATGTAACCAAAATCGTCTCGTCTTCAACCCGTAAAGATGTTGACACATCAATCATTTTTCACTATAATAATATATCGAAAATAAAAAGAATACAAGAAACATTTATATTATTAATTGTACTATGCGTTATATTAATTTTTTGGCTTCGAGATTCGAAAAAGGAGGCCGTAAGATTACCAATAGAAAATGGAAAAGGATACAATTACTTTCGATTTAATTATTTGACAATATATTTCCTTGTAATGGGTAACGTAATAACTAAACATTGAGATACTTGATCAAATATATATTTTTTAATATTAAATCTTTAAATGAATTACCTTGGATTAATTCATATACAATGTTTAAACAGCTGGTGATTGGCTTCAAGGCCCTTATCTATATGCTATATACAAGGGTTATGGTTTTGAATTAGGCGAAATCGCAATTTTGTTTATATCCGGATTTTTATCAAGTGGCTTTTTTGGAACCATAATAGGTTCTGCTGCTGATAAATTGTAAGACTTTTTGCTTTATTGATGAAGGTTTCTATTTTACTACTTTACTATATCACACGTCTAATGTTAGAACATGACCTTATTAGTGGAAGGAAGAAGTTTTGTTTACTTTTCACGTTGCTTTATTCTTCATCTTGCTTTATTATTTTATCCTCGAACTTTTATATTTTAATGATTGGAAGGTTTGTTATAATTGCCGATTTCGTGTATGATTTATGATTATTAAATAATTTATTAAGAAATAACTTGGTAATTTATCTACAGGATTCTAGGAGGAATTAGTACATCACTTTTATTTTCAGTTTTTGAGGCCTGGATGGTCAGTGAGCATTTTTCAAGAGGTATGAAAGGATCAATAAATGTAAAGCAAAAATTGCATTTATTTAACTTTTACCTAATTCTTCAAATAGGTTTTTCATCATCATTACTTTCCGATACGTTCTCTAAAGCAACTTTTGGTAATGGCTTGGTGGCTATATTTAGCGGATTATTTGCGAACTGGCTAGTAGAACGTCATGGTATTAGCTCACCTTTTTTGGCAGCTATTGGTTTTTTTATAACGGCAGCCATTGTGATAATGATTACTTGGAAAGAGAATTACGGGAATATTTCCGAAAATGTATGTACCTTGTTCCATGTTATGAACGGCCTTTTTATTCATTTTTTAAAAATTAAATTGATAATTTTCTTAATTTTCTTAAATTTGGGTCATTCCTATTATAAGACAAATACATTTCAGAGTCTTTTTCAAGCTGTGAATGTTATTAAGAATGGTAATTATTGTCTTATCATTTTCATTATAAATGATTTCATTCTAACTTGTTAGTTCATTTAAATAAGATTCCCATGTCCTTGCAATTGGTGCTGTACAGTCTCTTTACGAAGCATCGATGTATATTTTTGTTTTCTTGTGGGGACCACTTTTAGAAAGCCATCATATTTCGGATGATTCAAATTTACCTTTTGGCATGATTTTCGCTAGGTACTAACTAAAAAATTGAAATCTTTTCATATTTGCAATTAGACATTTATTTATTCGATAATAATTTTTTTTTTGATCATGCAACAAAATAGTTTTATGGTTGCAATAATGATCGGATCTTTGCTTTATGGATATTTAAGTGGTTCTATGAATATTTCTTTATCCGACATAGCGAGTGGAATATTTTTTATCGCATCGATATCACTACTATTACCTTTGTTTACTGAAGTAAAATGTTTTTATAAAAATTTGTATAACTAATATTTGGTTTATTATTAATATTCTTTCTTCTATTTATAATAGAATGAATTTTCCTTATTTGTTTTCTTTATTATATTCGAAGTGACTTGTGGTCTCTATTTTCCGTTAATTGGAACGCTTCGAGCAAAAGTAATTTCTGAAAACATAAGAGCTACCGTTGGAAATTTGTTTAGAGTGCCATTGAATTTGATAGTAGCCTATATATTGGTACATTATTAGACTATAACTGATATTTAGTCTATTAAATTTCTAAGGATAACAATTGACTCTTTTTGTTTTTGGAAAATAG